GGCGCCCCCTCATCTTCTTTCTCCTTGTCGTTACCATTCATGTGGTCAACCTCCGCAAGTATCTCGTCGGCAAACTCACTTCCCGTTGCAGATTTACGGCGGTCCTTACCCTTCAAGCGCTTCAAGCGTTCGGCCAGGGTCTCCCCTTCGTCGCCACTATCACCCCCAGCGGGCTCCTGTACATTCTGTGTGTACATGGTAGTCGGACGGTTGTCTGGGCTGCGTGGTGGAGGAGGTGGCGGTTCACCCCGCAATCTCGCGCGGCGCCTGCTCAATGGCTCGCTTTCTTCTAATTCGCGCCTCTCCATGAGACCCAAGGGCCTGTTATCATCAGTAGCAGTAGTCTTCTCGGGAAAGAGCATTCCGAGGGGCACATCGTCATCGCCATCATCGTCTGGCTTGTTGACATCAGGACCTTCCCAGGCAAGGGTAACAGGTCGATGCTTCCTATGTTCACTCTGCTTTTGAGCAACAGCATCAAGCTGGAGAAGCGTCGAGTGCAGTCCTACAGAATTGGCAGCAGTCCGCTGTCGTTGCCGCAGCTCGTGTTTTCTCATTTCAAGTTCCGCTAACAAGGTAGAAGGAGGTCCTGTAAATGGAACCTCTTGTTCGTTGCTTTCGTCCTCCTCGTCCTTGTGGGGATCATGCTCAGCATCATCTCCATCATTAGCGCCTTCACGTAATGAAGTGCCTTCATGCATGTCTGCCGCATCAGCTTCTGTTTGGTGGTACAAGTGATGTGAAGCGAATGAGCTTGCTCTGGCATCCGAGTCAGAGGATGGATGGTCGACTCTGAGGGTACTCCTTGACATATGTTTCTTCTTCTGCGCCGTCAAGTCTTTAGATGACGCCTTGTGTTTGGCGTACACTTCTGAACCGACAGGGCCAGCATACGGGTGGTCTGTGAAGGCAGTAACCGGCGCATTTGTTGAGGCATCGAGAATGCTGTCAAGTGTCGCAACTGCGGAAGACTGTTTGACTTCTACGTCAAGTGGTGTGGCGGGTTGTTCAAAGAAAACACTAGCACGAAGCTGCGGAGGCAGATCCGCTGGCTGCTTCTCACGCTTGGCATCGCTTGTGTCGCCTACAGCCTGGCCAGACAGCCAAGGAGCCGATTTTCGGTTTTCGGCCGTGACCGAACCAAGCAACTGCGTCCGACGCTTTTCTTGCTCAATGGCAGGCTTCTGTGACAGCCGCGGTGGCAAATTAAGCATCATAGGCACCGGAGCGGGATAATATACCATATTCTCCCCGGTCTGCGGCTCCTTGTACGTCTCCGGTCTGCTTGCCAGAGGCGGCCTTGTCAAAGACACTTGTCGCCCAAGCTCTTGGCTTTTATCGTGGGGAACATAATGTACGCCATCAAAGTCGGTGAACAAAACCCTGGCCTGTTGAAAGGTGTCCCCTGACGCAGCCGAGGATGGTCGTTGAATTTCATCCGGGACATGACTATACTGGCCATGGTGGGCAAAGTCGGGCTCTGTGGGAACAGATGGTTGTGGAGGGAGGGTGGGATCGTTAGAAACATGCATCATCGACTGGGAGAATCTTTCTTCAGGTGTATTTTCGGAAACTTGGGCCAATCGAGAGGCGGACATGATTGACCCTTGGCTGGATGGCACTGTAACCTTCATGGGGTTGCTTTCACGGACGGAATTGGAGACTGAGCTGACCGAACGCCTCTTCTGTTCACGATCCATCTTGCGGATTTCGCTTCCAATATCCGCCGAGCTCGAGCTGAGTTGTTCGGCACTCCTTTCCAGCCTCTCTACATTATTCAAATAGGCACCTTGTAGCGATTGAAGATCTGGGGTAGGATGGCTGAGAGGGATGGGGGTATCGGTGATCGGGGATCGCAGGGGAGGTTCAGGAGAGCCGGCGTGGGCAGCTCTAGTGTCTAGCGGCGCAACGCGACGGAGACTATTAGACCTCCGGTTTGTCGGAGGATCGGCGATGTCGTAGTCATCTTCCTCAACCATGTCATAGCTTGTGGAGGTCATGGACCGGATCAACGAACCTAACCGGCCCATGCTAGAATCCTCGGCAGTTTTGGCTGGCTGCAGATAAGTTCCTCCACCAATATGATCGGCATCTAAAGGAAGTTGTTGGAAGGTCGATTTGTGCGGCGACGAGCTTCGGGAGACGTCGGAATCGGTCGCGTTGGAAGCCACCTCGTGGTCAGCTTGAGAAACGGCGTTGTACGCCATTTTGAGATATGGTTGAGGATGGCAGGGTGCAATCAAGGGCCATCAAGGGAAAAAGCACTCTGTCGTGTGATCCACCAAAAAAAATTTCAAAAGAGGGGAAGGTTCTTAGGAGCGTTTGGTAGCAATCAGAGAGAGATAAGACGGGAGAGACCTTCCAAGACAAAGGTCATCGCAATCAAATCGGACGTTAGGGATAGAAAGGAAGGGAAAGGGGGATTTTTGAGATGCAAGAGAAATAAAAAGAGAGAAGAGGGTAAGCAGGTGTGAAAAAGAAAAAAAAATGAGAGAGAGAAAGAAATAAAAAACTTGGAAAAGTAGGATGAGGATGACGGATTCAGATTAACTGCTAAAGACGTGCAAAACTGGGCATGAGAGTTGTTATCTCATACATACTGTACAGTACCATACTGCTGGATGGTGAACGGAATTGGTTAAATCCAGAGGGATGAAGTAGTAGTACTAGTAGTAGTAGGACCTCAGTACTACATACAGTACTGTGTGTATGATGTACCTATTTTTGTTTTGTGTATGGTCAGTGGAATGTATCCACCAACTGAAGGTCCCCCTTATAAGACCCTTAAAGTATAGGAGGAATAGTATTGTCCATTCTTGTCATGTTCCCACCGTTGGTTCCTGTCGCACTTTTTAATTTTCTTTTTCTTTTTTTCTTTTTTTTCTTTTTTTCATTTCCAGGTGAGCTAAATTTGGATCATGAGGGGGAAAACAGACTAAATTATCCGCCACCATGTTTACAGTCAACCCTAACTATCACTAGTAGCCCGATAAGACCAGGTTAGAGACATTTTTCATCACCTGCACTTTAATATGCAAAAAGGAAATTTATCTCGAATCGCAATACTAATCCACAACCCTAAAATTATCTTGACAGTCAATCACATTCACACGCATCGAGCTTGTCACCTTTGCAGGAACTGCCTGCTTGCAGATGAGGAATATTTGTAAAAACTGGATACATCAAACAGCAGACGCCGGATGTAGCAACTACTCAAATTCAGATCTACGATCAAATCTGGGTCAATAATCGACTCCTGAGCTGATGAGTTGAGAGTGCACAATTTCATTGGCACGACTATTAATTACTATTTATTGTCTTATCCTCCGCACTACACTATCGAACTGCGCCTTGGTCCTGCAGGACGATTGGTGAAAATCTTCAAATCGAAGTCCTAGTATTGTCGTACCGGGTTTGTACGGTGACAACTAAGCATCCAACAGATCGAGGCGCTTCAAATGTAAGATGAATTAAACCCGAGAGTACAATATCGATGAGACTGATTCCCGACTACATCTGGATCTCTAAGAATGTTCCTGGATGCAATAAATCCACTGGGAGTAGCGTCTTGGCGTTAGTGATTAATGGAAAATCCGTGTTCTAGACCCTTTCGTACGTGAACCTGTGTATTACTTGACTCCACTGTACCTTTTCAACCGTTCTATCCACTTTCAAGATACTCTTACAGCGTCAACAATCATGTTGTAGAGATTACGGCAGAGGTATACATTAGCCTTGAAATCGGACTACTTATTGCGTACAAGGAGAACGAGAGCCCTTGCTAGTATCTACTAGAGTTTTATTATACAATATATGCAAGGGTCTCTTGTTTCCCACTTACCAGTACATCCATGTTCGCACTATCTGATTACCAGTGGCATTAAGGTGCTTACGAGATGTATACTTACTTTAACACAGTACGTAGTACGCAGTATATTGTAAATCATGAGGCATATATCTATCCAAAGGTAACGATGCAATGGCACCAAACTTGCTCTTCTGCAATTTTTTTTATCTTATAGTAGACTGATAAGCGGGGCGTTACCTATCAAGAAGTCGTTACCATCCTTAGTCGACCATTTCTATAGCAATGGAAAATATATTCCACAGTGCTGACTCTCGATTGTATCTGTTTGGCCTGGGCGAATGAGTATCCAGGTACGGTCTACATCGTATCGGTAGTCATATTTCCATTGGGATAACCAGGTTCGATAGGATAATGACATCGAAGTACGAGCGCTCGCAGAATGGAGCATCATAACCGCTATCAGGTCAATATCCAGAAACTAAAAGATCATCCAGGTAGATATGAAGGTAAATTGCAACAACGGTAGGTAACCACTATTGAGCCTGTAGAACATACGCTAAGCAGCAAAACCATAATATCCAGGGTTTGGGACCTGGGCAGTATTAAAAAGGAATGTCTAAGATACGATATGGTACAAATTAGCTCATATTCCTCCTCGGGTATTGAGAGAGCGCACTGATTTAGCCCAATTGAGCTTCTGGAGCACAGGAATATCATGTAATGGGCCGGCCGAAGAGCCTCACAAGGGCTCGAATAATGACTATAATGAACTTCAATATGATTCACTTACACTCGGTTTTGAAGGAGGACGGGTTGTATTAAAAACTAGAGAAAACCCGTAGACTCTTATATTATATATATTTTCAAGGCTCCAGACCCAATAGCAAGCCAATGACGTCACCAGAATCAACCAAGGCTGACATCTGAAATCCTTCTCTGTAACAAACGGGAAACAGAGGAAGTCAATGGAATATAAGACCAAAGTTAACTGTTACTACAGTGCATGTTAAGCTACAGGGTATGGGTTCAAACTCCGCGTTCTTAAATTACCCTTTAAAAAACGATAACAGCACACGTGACATCGCGAAATGCGGGACGCGCCTCAAAGCGAAAGGCGACTTCAAGATACGAGGTATCTGGACAGGTTCAAATTTTAGATTAGGAGACAGTCACACAATCTAACTACTTCGAAATGTCATACTATGATATTGACTCTATCTTAACAGATGCCCAGGTACGTCACGAAAATCTACACGTACCAGTCGGGCGTGTTTTTAATGTCTCACGGTGATAGAAATTGCCCTGCACATTTGAACTCGAGGTGCCAGGGCTTGGCATTTTAGAAGGCAATCCGGGCGACAATGTAAGCTTATGATTTGGGTTGCAATTAACGAGGATGGCCTTGGATTGACAACGTCAGATCAAAGCTGGTACTCGCATGGACCTCCCATTATGGCTGGGTGAAATGCTCTCCATCGGGTGAGATCAGAACAACCCCCAAAGCCCCAACCAGACCGTATCTAAATCAGCAAAGAGCCCGGCTGGGCACTTCTCGTCTAGTCACACTAGATATTCCTTCAGCATTGTCAGAACGAGTTATGAACGCCTTAAAAGCAGACCCTCGGACCGTTGATCTGCGGGCATTAGCGCCGCATTTCTATAGTCTGAGCGAGCGAGTTTTGGAGCTTTTCGAGGAGGAGGAGATGGTCGATGTTCTTATTAATGTTTGTTCACCCCCTGCCCATCCGAAAAGAATAAGGAGGAGGAAGAGAAAAGGCTTGACTAATAACTCATATAGACATTCAAGAAGCGCGCTTCAGAAATTGCCGACCATGCCCACAACCCAAAGGGGGCTCTTGGTGACGGCGTTGAGTTTCTGCGGGGGTTAGATGAAACGGAGAGGCAGTGTACGTGGAAAACAACTCTACAGCTTACAACCTTCTGGCTTGTTTCTAATCGCTTGGTCTAGTGTTCCGCGTGGCCCATGACAGTGCCAAGGAGACACGGATATGGGCTGGGGAGGCTAAGAAGAGGTAGTTCGAGGGGGCAAAGTATTACCATCCAAATTTACCAGACTGAGCTGTGCTCGTCATATGAGCTATGTCTATTGTTTTGCCCGGGACGCCAGTCATGTGCTTAGGGCTTGCTGTGTTGGTGGAGTTATATGGAATTGGCACTCGAATAAAAAAGAGCTTGCGAGCTATTTTCGCTTATTAAGAAAAGTAGACTTGAATTTAACAAGCTTCATGGTGTTTTATCTTAGCCCACATACCCATAAGGATTATCATTGTATACTCTTGATCGAAACCCTAGACGTTTACAAACAGCCGCAAACTAGCAATTCGGGCTACATATACGTACTACAGGGGGTGCACCTGCAGTCCGAAACTATATACTGTAGTATGAAGTTGGAGAGGTCTGTCGGGCCCATTATGAAAGGCTAACCTTATATGCTCCTAATTAATGCGGTGGAATACTAGTTAATGCACAGTACATCTTGTACAAGGTTCAGAACCTACCGAGGAGGATCAGGATTGCTTTTGGCGGTGTACCTGGAAGCGAGAAGCGGGCATCGTGGGCTGATCCTTTTTGTGGGGCTTTGTTTACATAGCAACTTAGTAGCTTCTGGTTGTCGGGACTGCAATGGCGTAAGTAACTTGAATTTGAATCTCTGTTTCTTGGAAGGATTCCAACAAGTATTGGGCAAGGTCACGGGGCAGTTGCTTGTTTCTTGTAGCGTGTTGACGTTTGCATTCTTTTTCCAAACGGTCACCCTAAGGTTAAGATGATCAGCTGGATGGTAGACGGGCAGGGGGTTGAAACGGTTGGCATGGAAAGAAGGGAAACCTTCCACCATTCAGGTGAGCTAACAACTAGTACGACTTTAGTTAGTAGTCAAGAGTCCAGCCCTTACGACAGTTGGAGTATTAATTAAATGGAATCTGCAATGCTCATTGGTGAGTGATGAAACAGCCGAGGGAAGTGGCCTTCCGATTGGTCTCTTTCTTAGAATGAACCCCTTCACCAGTACTGCGTTGAGTTAGTAGGAAAGGACGATCAACCGACGGCGGGACTACCGTAAGGTACCGACTATGCCTTTAGTGGTTTTAGTGCTTGTCTTTGCCGGGGGACCTATCACGCTTGTTGATTGAAGACTAGACTACGGACTTGGGGTTGTTGAGAGAGTTGAACATTCGACACATTCTTGGATGAAGAAAAGAGAGAGAAAGAGATACGAAGGAATGAACTACTGGGAATGCAACTAGCCAACAATCAAGTGTCAAGAGGGTGTCACAGCATTCACTTCCTCTCCTCTCCACAATTTCAATTGTCGTCGCATGGTAACCGGACATTCCCAACTGATGGGGGAAGGAAATAAAGGTAATATCCCGTTCGCAGAAATAAGACTAACCAGAAGGAGAGTTGTAATGGGATCGTGCAGTGTGTGGGGATCCTCTTTTTTTTACCTACTCTTTCTCTCCGTCACCCTCCTTTCTTGGCTCTGAAGATCGACTTGTCATAACCTTTCCCGTCACATTTTAATCTTTCTCCTCTCTCTCCCCTCACATCCCAGAAGGTTACGTACTTGCCTCGCTACGATTTCTTTTACGCGGTGCTTTCGCTGTATGTGCGTTGTTACCCTGCCAATTCCCTGCGGCTCCTACGATTCATGAGAACCCATCCTCGACCTGTATCTCTGCGCCAGACTCCTCGCATCGCCACTCGCCCAATAGGGAGTGTGAACTTAGCTTTGTTCTCACTCGACCTGTCGATTTAAATCTCCGCCTTTAATGAAACGCGCGCATTAGGTGGGCATAGTCGTACTGTTCTACTGCACTCTACGTCGTGTCGTGCATCTTGTCAATTATGCGCGTTCGGTAGCCGAGTTCGCCATCTAGGGATCTCGAACCGGCATGGACAAAACACCCCAAAGGCGAAGCACCGCCTCGGTGCACTCAACCACCCCTTCGTCGCTGCGAAATTGCCTATACCCTTCCCCGGTCACGGCTCTCCCAACTGGCGATACACCCCCAAGACAGAGTCCGAAACCGAAGAGTTGGTTACACCCAGCCTCTCCTCCCTTGAATCATTCAAGGGATACCAGACTTCAGAGCGGTATACTAACTATTCACGTGTTCCTTCCAGGTAACTCTGAATCGTCAAAACCTGCAGCGCTCACTCGGGTCAAGAGACGGATCAGGATGGATACCCCGTCGCAAATGAATACTGGTACGATTTTGGTAGCTCGTGCGATCTTCGGATGGTGCTAATGTATCATACAGAAATGTCATGGCCGCATGATCTGTCTTCTATGACCGGCTCACCCAAACCGAGCTCGCAAACCTCTAGATCAAGTATGTTTGCAATATGATTGTTGTGGAATCAACAAATCATTAAACGATTTCATGTCTCATACTGGAATACTAACATGATGGACCTCTGTAGAAACCCCCGAAGCTGGATCAACATCGCTGGTGAACCCATCCTCCTCTCTGCTACAAGACCTGTTGAAAGAGCAGCGTGCGACGCGGGGGTCGCGAGGCACAACCTCAGAAGACACGGACGATAATGGACCCCGTACGCCTCGTACGCCAGGCCGTTCCCGCTCCAACTCTCAGGCCCAGTCACAGGAAGAGCCGGGCTCTGATCGACAACGAAAGATCAATAATGCTCTGGCTGCGGGTCTAAAGCAACCGCGGGAGATGGGGATGAGAGAAATGGACCAAGTGAGTGACACCATGGTAGCTTCTACCATGATCCTGCAGTCACTAATAGAATGCTAGTATATCTCAAAGATGAATAAGCAGAACTTTGACTTGAAACTCGAGATCTTTCACCGTGCCCAGCAAATGGCTGTCATGGAAAAGAAGCTTGAACGGATGTTAGAGATAGAAGAAGAGCTCCAACGCCTGCGGGATTTAGAGGACGAGCTACAGGAGTTGCGGGATGCTGAAGAAGACAATCAGAGGTTGCGGGAGTCCAACGAGCAATTACGGCAGGAAATTGATAAACGAGACCAGGCTGTCACAGAGGCGGTAGAATTAATCTGTCAGCTGGAAGCGAGAGTGGAGGAGCTAGAAGCAGCCGGAGATAATTCTAGACCGTCTACAGCCCGGCCTTCTACGCGCGATGGCCCAGGCCCAGCTATTGAAATGCCCAAGTCTCCTACCCCCATGGACATCCCAGAACGGACATCCTCAAAGAGAGCTGCAACATTTGGTGACCAGCATCGCCGAAGGTCTTCGGGTACACGCCATCTCAAGAGAGCACCGTCGTTTCTCTTTAACGAGAACCAAAACACGGCGGCCCTGCGAAGTGTCTACAATCCTGCCGACGACCAGTCTCGCTCCGAAATGAGCATACTTACGAATTCCGAAAGCCTCCACTCCATGAACGAGACCGGCGAACCCGATTCCCCGAGGCTTAGCGCACTGAGTGAATGTAGTGAACTACATATAGGAGATATTACTGGGCCGTGCAATGACTTTGATGAAATCGAAATACCTGTTCGCAAGAGAGCATCGACGGCGCAGAGTTCCATGTTCTCGCCCCTTACGAGAGAAGATCGAGAAAGGGATCGGTTACGTTTTAGCTCATGGACCCCGCCGAAGCCAGATATCCATCCAGAAGACACTCCGAGAATGAATATTCGGCCTGTGCTAGATGTGTTCGGAGACACTGATAAGCCAAGCTTTGAAAGCATCTCTTGTGATAATAGCTCTAGCCGAAAGACACAGATTGACAGCGTTTTTGGAAGTTCCAGGCTACCTCCTACCCCTGACACGATGAGTACCGCACATGCATTCGGCACCAATCGATCCAACGGCAGCGCTACGGAGAAGAGCCAGGTTGATCAGATTGCAGTTCTTAAGCGGGGACTTCGCCGTCCTCGTTCCGCAGACGAGCTGACAACTAGGCAAAGTTCCGGCAATAGCAGGCTGACTGATGGTACAGATACCAACATTAGTGAGGTTATGCATCCACCGCTTAGTCCCGACGAAGGAGACGAAGCGCCTGCTATATTTCCCTTGGACAGCGTATCATCAAGGACCGGCTACATGCAAAGCCAGCAGCCAGTGCATAGGCCGAACTTTGGCTACTATGGAAATGGGGTGCTGTTCAATCGGGATGACCTGGAACATGTTCTTTCGAAGATAGATAACAACTATTACTTGTCACCTAAGTGTGACGAGGCCGAAGAGCCCGCTTTAGCTACGCCATCTACATCACCGCCCCTTACCCCTCAAGATTGGGTGGAAGCAGCGAAATCCGGTAACCCCACTGGGAAGACTCGTGCCCTCGCCCCGGCTATTGGCCCTGTCCCTACCCAGTCTCGACTAGGTGGTACTAGAGCTCCAAGCCAGTCCTCATTCCTTGGGCGTCGCCATAGCGTCGACTCGACTGTGCCGGACCTTCCGATTATACCCACGCTCGATCTAGGCTCAGTAGAACCTGTTCGTCAGCCTGAGCCGGACCCAGAACCTCGACGAAAAATAAGTTTTCGGCCTCGATTTTTTGGGGGCTCAAAAGCGACCCGCCGTCTCCAACCATCACCCATTCCTGATGCCACGAATGAACAGGATGGAGCACCCTCTCCAATCATCCCCAAGACTAGACAAATGGGGCCTTCGAAGCCGGCCAGTGCAAATCAAAACGATAATTCACCTACATCCTATGACAGTGGCCGTACACCTACCCTTGCATATGCCGATACAAAGGGTGACGATATGCGCAGAACCCTTCCTCATTCATTTACGGATTCCAACATGCTGTCACATAGTACCGTGAACAGGCCACCCTCGTCTCACGGCAAAGGACACAAAAGACGAAGCTCACTTGGAATCTTTGGCTGGATGAAAGGGGCCAGCGGTTTTGGGTCGTCCCATAAGAAATCTGAACCTGATTCCTCTGCGATGTACACGCAGTCCAGTGCGTCAGTCAAGGACAGAACCTCCTCCCGTTTAGCCTATGAGTTTCCGGTTGCGAGCACTGAGACCAGGGATGCTCATTTAGCTTCCATGAACGTTGCAGTTGAA